TAATTTGATTGTCTTCAACCACTCTTATAGTTACAGGTAATTTAGTTCCCGCCATTTCTAATAATACTTCAGCTTGAGCTAGTACATTAATTTCATGCCCTGAGGCAGACGTTATGAGGCAGACCTCCAAACTGGAAGAAGACGAGGAATTTTGTGGTACCTTGGTACCCGCGGGCGTAATGCCCTTGTTGCTTGAGTCTTCAGGACCAACCATGAAGACAAATTAGTCGTTGCTTTTGTTGCTTTCTGATAGCTTTTAAATTTTCTTATCTGTAATTAATTCTTTAATTTAAATAAAAAAAATTAAAAAAAAATCTTAAGTGTTAGCTTTGCTATAAGCTAAAGAGAACTAAAAGTGAATCTCTAAATATTAGAATGACTCCTGCTTACAGTTTACATGAATGTTAAACAAGTATTGAAATGCTTCTTCATTTAGATGTTTAAATAACTGAATGCTTATTCATCCCTCACGGATGTTTACATAAATGTTTAGATGCTTATCCTTTCCTTTAAACATTTTCTCATTAATTTATTTTTACTTTACACTGAATTTTTCTCAAACACAATGTTTAGATAAAAGTTTAAATGCTTATCCTTTTTCCCATTAATTTCTTTTTACTTTACACTGTTCTTTTCCCACCAAACTTTTCACTTTTTTTTTTTAAATTGTGATTGTTTATCTTTACTTCCGCTTTTTCCCTTTCCCCTGCTCTTTGGTTTAACTTTTTTTTTGAACCTTTGACCCCTTTTGGATTGGATGTAAAAAAAATTTTGGTTCATACATTCAAAATTCTTTAAAGAAGATTTAGGAAATGTTGTAAATGAGGAATTTTATAATGAACGCGAAAATTTTGAAGAGAGTTACGAAAATAATAAAAAAAATCAAAATTGTTGGACAGTGAATTATTTAGGGGAAAAATAACACGAATAAACAAAAAAAAATTTTTTTTTGAGTAGAGCAATGGATTTTAGAGCAATAGTTGAAGACTCCAACAAATAAAATTAAAAATAAATTTGTTGTAGGGCAATAGATTTTAACACAATCATTGAGTAAAAGAAAAATTTAATGTAAAAAAATTCGTTTATTGGGCAGTAGAAAGCCATATATAAGCAAATTTATTACCTTTATTTGAATATAGATAAAAGCAGTTTTAAATAATTGATAGAAAAGATGCGCTTTGCTTTTTGAATTATTTTTGTCAGGTCTAAACAGTTTTGCGTTTCTTTAGTTTTTAGCGTTTTGTTTTCTTTTGCAATGCGTTCTGGCGTTTTTTTTTACAGTTGAATGCTCCTGAAGTACGAAAATGCCAGATCGTATTTTTCAAAACTCCAAAAAAAAATTTGGATTTTGACTGAGTCATTACAGAGGTACCAACCATACATACACGAAACGTTTCGATTATTTGTTTCTTATGTTTCGTATTATTTTTGGTGTTTCGTGATTTTTTTTGAATTTTGTGAGACCTCTGATTTTGTAATTTTAAAGCCAAAACTGAAGCCAACTGCTAAAAAATTCCCCCACGTTTATTGATAATTTAAAAATTTTCGCCTGCGTCGCGAAATGGTGATAAGAAAATGTGTCCTTTTTTTGTATTTATTAGAATATTTAATATAAGTGTTCATTAGTCGTCGTTTTAAATAATAAGAATAATAAAAATATATATATATATATATAAAATCGAGTATTTTTGTGAGAAAAATTAATATTATGTTCGTTTAATAAGGGATTATAACATTTGAAATATGGTCTAATAAAACAAAAGGAATTTTTTTTGAGCAATGATTTTAGTATATTGTAGAAAATAATAAAATATATATATTGTAATGTTTATATATTATATCCTATACATTTTTATTAGAGTTGCTGGCGTTTTTGAGAAATTTTTAAAAATTAACCGTTCTTAGAAAATTTTGAAGCCCGAAAACAACATTGGAAATAAGCGATTTTATTAAAAAAAATTCTCCCTAAATAAAACCGGTATTTGCAACTCTAATTTATATGTATATTTAAAAATATTTGTGTAAAACTATATATATATATTTTGTGGAAAGTATTTTGGAAGACAGACGGAATAAATAAAAATGTTTTATTTGAAAAAAGGAAAAGAATAAAGGTCGTTCCTTTCTATCTTATGACTTTTCTGTAGTGATTCATTAATAGAAGAAAAAAAATTTTTTTTTGAAAAGAGTGAACAATGTATAAAAGAGTAAAGATTTAAAGATTAATGGTTTTTTTTAAGTGTTGAATCATGAAATAATTAAAACACTTTTTTGAAAAAAAAATTTTTTTTTGATGTTGACAGATTTAAAACACAATTTTTGAAAAAACTATAACACAAACTAAAGAAAAGAAAAATTTTGTTGAATTTTAACAAGGTATTTTTTTTGCCTGTGAAAGAGGAATAACATTATACAAAAAAAAATTTTTTTTTGAAAGAAAATGTAAATGTTGAAAGGCTGTCTCTTTTTAATGAATAATGTCTGTGTATATTTTGAAAGAGAGAATTTTATTACGAAAAATTACGGAATTTAATTGTGTGTTTAGTTGTGTTTTAATCTATCAAAATAAATTATGTTTGTTGCTGAATTGAAGAATTTTGATATGTGAAATTGTTGAAATTAAAAAAAAATTTTGAAGAATTTTTTTAAGAGTTTAAAAGAAAAAAAATATTTTTTTTGAATAATTTTTGAAGAATTATATATTTTTTCTGTTGAGGAAAATTAGAAAAATTTTTTTTGAAGTGTTTTTGATGTTGAATTTTTAAAAGGGAAGTTGAGGAATTTTGTTGTTAAAGTAATAAAAATTTTTTTTTGTATATATATTTTTATATACATTATTATTTTTTTTTGTAGGCCCGTGGGCCTCATGCCACAATGGCAGCTTTTCTTCCTCCATTCCGCACCTCACCTGGATCCCCTCCCCACCGCCATGGCCAGTGGCGGGGGGAGGTGGGACGGTGCTACCAGTAAAGCTAGTGCTGGGCCAGGATGGTATTGGGATGTTGGGCGGGTTGCGTGCGATGTTAAGGGTCCCGAGAGGCGATGCCGATGAGTATATTGCGGAGCGGAGGGTAGGCCTTTCTATGCGCCGGTGCTGCTGGTCGATTACGAGATCGACTTGCCCGGGAATAATATGCGCTGAATGATAAGCTCTAGGCTTCTTCTGCAGGATTAATGAATAAGCTCTCAGCTTCTTCGGCCGGTTATTCACTTTTCTATTGATCACTTTCCAACTGACTGGTGAACAGTCGACTGATCCGCTTTTCACTATTTTCCACTTAGTTTTATCCTAAGGCCTTATTTGTCATTCTCCTCCCCTTATTCAATCCTTTCCCACAGGAACTAAAGTTCCTTTTCTCCATCCTTGCCCATCCGGATCAAAGTACGCCTTACATTGTTTATCGAAACGGTATTAAAATAAACTTGAATATTTTTTTCATTTTCGAAAATTCAAATTTAATTTTTTACCCAAAAACTTTTCGGCCTTTAAACTCTTTGGTGGACAAATATAAGATTTTATGAGGATTAAAATAAAAAGAAGTAAATTTATTTGCATTTAAATTTTTAATTAAATAAATTTTAAATATAATTCAATTAAAAATTATTTTCTTTAAATTAAATTAATTATATAATTAATATTAAAAATATAAAAAATCTAAACAATTTAAAAATTAACCTCCCAGTCCGGGAATCGAACCCGGGTCTCGCACGTGACAGGCGCGGATACTAACCACTATACTAACTGGGAACTTATAAATGTTTGGCTAAAATAGTAAAAAATATTTTTCATATAAATTTATTTAATAATTTTTTCTCTTAAATTAGTCTTAATAAATTTCAAATTAATTTACTTATAATTTAAAAAAAATAAAACAATAACTAAAGCAGGACTTCAATATAGTGTACCCTATTGTGCTTAAAAATAGTATTGACGAGCTGTTCTAAAGCTGAAAAATCTAGTTTGGGCCGTGTAAGCAAGCAGAAATAGTGAGTCTAAATATAGGATAATTCCAGTTAAAAATACATAAGTAAATGTCTATTTTTTATTAGTAACTCCCAGTTCAGTAATCCATTTAGTGTAACTCCGGCATAGGGCTGGCGGTCCAGCATAAATCCCTTGATTCGATATCAAACCAAAAATTTGGTCTTTACGGATCCGGATCTGCCATGAGGGTATACTACTATACTGAGGTTTGGCTGTAGCTATTCATATATTTTTTAATCATAATGATTCGGCACGAAATCGGTAAACCCAAATAGAGTACTCGTTGAAATCGAGACTGTTTTTTGTTGGTTTTGTTTTACTAAATCTTCGCTTATGTCCTAAAAATGATTTAGTAATATTCACCTTCTGAGCCCTACTGAGCTGCAGCTTAATTTTTAAAAATACACATTGACATAGCTGAACACTCTCAAGTTTAATTGTAAAAATTACTAAAAAATAGTCAAGAGATACACTTTTAAAAGTACATTATGTATTATTGTTGACTCAATACTTAATTATTTACCAGAAATCTAAAAAATTCGAGTACGAAGTACAAAATAACAAACAAATTATTTAGAGATTTCCAAGTAATAATGCATTAATAAATAATTAAAAATATAAAATATTTTCAACAAATTATTTATTTAGCAGGTAAAAACATTTTAATTGCTCAGAGCCAACAATTTTTTAAAAATTAGGTCCGGCAGGAATTAACAATAATTTTTATTTAAATATTTAATTTTAAAAACAATTAATAGATTAAATGTTCTCTTAAAAATATTATTTTTTTTATTTTTAAAAATTTTAAAAATAAAATTATCTAAAGAACGTAGGTAAATTAGTTAGGTAAATTACATAGTAATTATTATGTAAATAATTATTTATATTTAAATAATAGTTCATAGTAGACAAATAAACAATTTAATAATTTTATTTTTGAAAAATAAATCCAAATAAATCCGAAATATTATTTTTTAATTTTAAACTTTATTAAAAAAATATTTTTTTTTAATTTGAAAATGAACGATACATCTTTATCTGAGGAAGTAAAAGGCGATTATTTGTTTTTTTCAACTGAAGGTATAGAAGGAATTTCAAATTTAAATATTTAAATAGGAGTATAGTGTATTAGGAAATTTTATTCCACTTAGTTTTTTTCTATCTCTTTACATAGATTTGATTGTCAAATTAATCTCAAATTTTTATATGAGATAACCATTATTGGACATTATATCCATAAAATCTTTAAAAATATTTCACTCAACCGGGTTTTTATCGAGTTTTCTCACAAAAATAGGTGTTAAGAAATTATAATTCCACCCGAATCGAATTTTGATTTTATATTAAAAATGCTTGAAAATTTTTACGAAAATTTGCGTAAATAAATCTTATCTACTAACTATTGTTCTTAAAAAATATTTCATCGAGTTAAAAGGGTGGTAATCAGGGCTGTGCGTCATGGCGTTTGGCGTTTTGCGTTTTGGCGTTAATTTTGGCCGATTTTTGGCGTTTTGCGTTTGGCGTGATTTTCCGATTTTGGCGCGCCAAACGCCAAAAATATACACCCCTAATGATGGAATTTTTTTTAAATAAATGGAGAAAGGGATGATCGAAAAAGGAACTTTTTCTGCGTACAGTCATCAAAAATTCTCAAAATTTTTGCCTGCGGCGCATAAAAAATGAAGAAATCTACTGCTTGGACTTCCAAAATTTAAAAATTTCAAAAAGCCCTTATCTTAAACTAATAGATGGAAGAAGTAAAACTTTAGTCCCGTCAATCGTTTACTCTCTTCATGACCTCTGTTATACTCATTACTCCCTTTATCCCTTCATATCCACCTTAATCTCAAGGAGTTCTATGAATTTCTTATTTTTTAAATTTTCTAAAGGATGAATTTCGGCTTCTTTGCCTCCAAAATTCTCAAAAATTTCGCTCCGGCGGTAAAAAAGGATGAATTCTGGCTTCTGGGAAGCTTGAAAATTCAAAAAATTTCGCCTGCGGCGCTAAAATGATATGAACAGTGGGTTTTAAGTCTCTAAAAATTTTGGCGTTTGGCGTTTGGCGTTTGGCGTTTTGGCGTTGATTTTGGCCGATTTTTGGCGTTTGGCGTGTTTTTAAAATTTAAAAAATTGGCGTTTGGCGTTTGGCGCGCCACGCGAAAATTTTGGCGCACAGCCCTGGTGGTAATTAATCGAGGGAGATATTTATTTAAGAAAATAAGGTAAATAAATTATTTTAGACCCAATCCGCACTGTCTACGCTTTTTTGGACAGTTTTGTTCTTTTTGTTGGTCTTTCAATGAATTCTTTATTAATTTACCTGATCCGAACTAAAACAGCAGCAGGAATGGAAATATACAAAAAATTGCTTTATATGAGTTGTTTTATGGATTTAATTGTTTCTTTTTGGACATTTATTGTCCAACCGGTAATAATGTATTTTAAGGCTTCGGTTTCGAATATTAGAGACCGAAAACTCTATCCATTAGTGCCATACAATAAATTATTTGCCAGAACCCTTACTTTAAATTTATTGTACGGGCTCAGGGATTAAAGACAATTTGCCCCCCCCCCCCCATTTTTAAATTCATTATCTTTATAGATACCAGTAATTTCGCACGGTTATCGAACCGTTTTGATGAATGGAATCTTTCGTAAGTCTTCACAACCAATTCGTTATGCTGTCTATCTAATTTGGGTTCAAATGCTGGTTAGAAAAATTTTCAAAAAAATTTTTTTTAAATTTTCCCTTTGAATAAAGATATTTTTCTTAATAACAACAATAACACAATATGCTTACCGTTTTTGTATTTTATGTAGAAATGGGGTTGTTTCTTTAAAATTTTTTGGATGGATGACTTTTGGACAAACTTGTCTATTTTTTGCTCATGGATATTTGCTTGCATGGGCTGACTATCCACGAGAAGGAGAAAAAGTTTTTATGAAGGAGATAAGAGAAAAAATTATGGAGGAGTCTGGATTAACTGATGTTGAATTTATTTCTTTTGTTAATGCGGTAAAAGTCGCTAATTATTTTCTAAATATAGGTTCTAAGAATTCCTGCTAAATTAAACATATAATGATTTTAAAATCTTCTGATTTTATAAATTAAATAGGCAAAAATTTGACTTCAGAAAACTAAAATTTATCGAAAATGTAAGGATTGGGAAACCCGCATCTAAGATTCTAAGACTGCCCTACCTGTCAATTGGTAGGGTGGCAGCTAATGTTCATGCAACTTGCTCGCTAGCTTAACTTACCTAGCTATATAATAAAAATTAATTAGAGAAACTTTCGTTGGCTTGTACACCTTGTAATTATGGGTATTATTGTACCTGGTTTTTACATTGTAATTGGCATTTGTTTCTTTAAAATTCGAAAAGAAGTTCAAGGAATGAATGTTTTAAAATTAAAAGAATATAGCAATCAGGTTTCGGCCGCCCTTCTTTTTCAGGTAATTTTATAGGATGAGAAATAGGATTTTTTTCTTTCTTGGAATTGGTAAAAATTAATTTTTAAAGGCCCTACTTCCAACATTTGAAGCTTTTGGTTGGGGTGTTCAAACATTTCTTCCTGTATTTGTTACCGAACGTATTAGCACTGTAATCTACACAGTTTTTACTGACATTCCAATTCATTTAATACCGGCATTAAATCCAATTGGGACTATTTTGCTTGTTGCTCCATATCGGTATCTTAGTCTTATTTTAGAATTCTACATAGATTTTTAAAGCCGTGCTGTGTTTCGCTATTTTGGAATTACAAAAGCCCATTCAACAATTATTCGTATACAAACAACAATTCAAACAAAACGCCGTCAAGGGACAGTTAGTATTCATCCAACCACACATAATTGAACATAAAAATGAAAAAATTCTCCAAAATTGAATTGAAAAATAAGAAGATACTCAACACAAAATATTTCCTTTATACAATATTAATTCTATAACTAAAATTAATCATAATATCATTAAAAATTATTTTTAACATTCATTTTTTAACTAAATTTTTGAATTAACTTCATAATTCTAGAGACATGCTTAACAACCAGTTATACCTAAAAAATAAAATATTTTTCTTCCATTTTCAATTATTTTCTATTTACCATTGTTTTGTGTTTTCATAAAATCTCGAAGTAATTTCCCAGAATCACTCAGACACGATTCCTGCATTGCTTGAGCTGGGGTACAATTTGGCTTTACTAAAGAGTATACTTCATCTTTATTTGATAAGGACCATTTGGCATAGGAAAGTTTGTTTTGATCCATAAATTTCCAGCTAAATTTTGGAAATAAAGATTTAATTTTTAAATGGTTGGGTTTAAATTAGAAAATTTCTAGGTATAAAGGCAAGCTGTAAAGGCAAGCTGTCTACATCTAATTTTTTAAAATACTTTTTACTCACAAATCTTTCATTGCTGAAGGATTTAGAGGAGCAGGAAGATTAAGGCCGGCATCGCCATATTCGGTCACAAAAACTCCCAAACCTTTGGCCCTTGCATTTAAAACCATTTGTTTTTGCTGTTGTATATGATTATTGTCCACCGTATAATAATGAAGAGTATACCTTTAAAATTGTTAATTACTCTAGAAATTATTAGTGGTAGTTAAAGAGATTCGATTGTATTTAAGAGTTTGAATTCTCTATTTCCTCGATTAAATAGAAGAACCCCCCCCCCCCAGCCAGTTTTAAAAATTAATTATTCAGGGGTGATTATTCAATAAGATAAGGTTAATTGTGATTTTCGCTTTATTTAAATATAGGAGCAGGTCAACATACCAATTTCCTATTTTATATAAATTTTACATTAAATTTGTTCCAGAAACAGGGTTGTTAATTACTTCTGCTGACGGACCAGTAGATTGATATGGTGTGCCAAGTATTGCAACAACATTCGGGTCAAGTTTTCGGATTACCTAAAAATAATTTTTAATTCAAAAGAAAAGATTATCCAGGTTAATTATGGATAATTTACACTTGATATATTTTAGCGAATTTCTAATATCTATTCTAATCGTTTTTGTATTGCATGGAGACGAGGTTAATATTTGTTAATAAATTATTGGATAGATTTAAGTTATGTCATCTAAAAAATTTTTGAAGATGAAGTTTTCCATATAAGAATTTTTCAAAAATTAAAAATAAACTAACTGGAAGTACAGCATTGTAATAGTCCTTTAATTTACTCCATGGGCATATTGGTTCATTCCAAAGCTCCAAAAGCATATTTGGAGACCCTTTATATTTATTCAATATTGTTGTGAAGAATTGAATAGCGCTGTTTGTAAATTGTTTAAATTCAGCATCATTTGTACATTTTTCGTTAGCTACATCGTGAAAGTCAATTAAAAAGTAAATTCCATTCTTAAAATTTAAATGTATTTTTTGGTGATTTTTTAATGTTTACACTCTAGAGGGGATATTCTTTGATATTTAAATATTTCCAGAATTTGGGTAACAAGTTATGAAAAATACCTACAGCTATAGCTGCATCCGCAACAGCAGTAGCAGCTTTGATTGCAGCACTTGGATTCTCTAAATAACCAGAACAACAAGTTCCAATTGCTGCTCGAACCTGTTGAAATAAAAGAAAATATTAATGGTTAAATTTATATAATAATCTGTTAAGAGTTTTATTTTTCTTTGACTTTCAGAGTATTATTTTCTAGATTAGCTCAGATTCATGACCAGCCTCCATAATTATTTTTCAAATTCTAACTCAAAAAATTACCTAACATTTTAATTTTTTCTAATATTTTTAGATCTCCAATAAAATATAGACTTACAACATTTCCATTATAAAAACATTTAATAGCTTTAACAGCTTCAGGAGAATACCATTGAGTTAGCCATTGACTGAACCAAAGAGAAATTCCTCTTAATTGAACTGCCTGTCCATTAGCACCAGTTAATTGCCCATTTTTTACTGAAAGCCTTCCATATGGCGGATTAACTGCCAAAACAATATACAAATAAAATGAGAAAATAAAAATATTTTTAATTATTAACATTTTTTTATTTAAATAAATTTATATAATATTTTAATTTTTATTTTAAATTTTTCAATTTATTTATACTAACAGTAAAATATTTTTTAGAGCTTTTAACTTTAAAATTTATTTTAACCACATGGTGGTTATTCAAACAATTTAATTTTTTAACGCCAGCCAAAGTTCATTGTCTATAAAAAATTTAGAAAATAAAAAAATTTTCTTTTGTTTAACTAAAAAATTTTTTCAATGCCAACATGACTATTTTAACGATTTAAAAGTGCGAAAAGATGGTACTTGTGTAGACGATTTTTAACGGATTTTTTCTTAATTTTTAACATTAAATCTGTCCAAATAAACTAAAAGGAAATTGTTTAATAAATTTTAATTTTAATTTTTTATTTTAATAGACAGACAGTCTCATATTAATTTAATATTTCCGTGTTTCTTAAATCTTCATACTGTTAATTAGAGATAGGATTTGGATAGTTACGAGAAAGTGGGTAGTATACAAATTACTCCAAATTCATCAAAGATATATTATCCCTTGTGTTTTAGATATAGCCTTATATTTTTGCCGGACTTTCCTAGGAAAATAAACAATAATTTTGTGGGCTTTTTTGTTTACCAATGTTAATGAAAGTAAAATATAAATTAAAACCTTAATAAAATTCAAATTAAAAATTTTTTATTCAAAAGATTATCAAATACATTTTATCTTTTATTTAAAAGCACCGGAAAAGCTCAAACAAATTAAATAAAAATTGTAACAATTATATGATGGCATATAGTAAATTAAATATATTCATTTAATTTTATAAAATGCAAAAGAATTATTTTAAAAAAATAATTTTGAATTTATTGGTTAAAGTTTAGTTTGTTTTTCCTTTTTTTATTTTTCCCTTGCCAACAACATTTTTATACAAAAAATTTTAACATTTTCCGATTGAAAATATACCAAATAAAATCAGAAGGGAATTTTGGAAAAGAATAAAATGGAGGGGGATAGATATAAACTAAACTTTTATCATTTTATTTATTAAAATGGCTTTTGCTCATTTGAAGACATTAAGGATTTTATTATAATTTTTAGAAAATTTATTTAAAAAATTCCTATCAAAAAATATTATTTTAGTTAAATCGTCATGTCTCCAAATATCTCTAGCCACAATTTATAAATACCCATAAATATTAATTCGAGGTAAAACTGAGATATGAAAAGGAGAGAAATTAAGTAGATTATAATATAAATGGATTTTCATGGTACTGGTTAATTTGTGAAGTTAAAAGGAATTTGTGGAGGAACTTTTTTTGTGTGGAAATCCGGTTAGGAAATATATTAAACATATACATATCTCAGTTTTCCCGACTAATGAGTGAAGATTTTTACATTAGAACCCCTTAATTATTCAATAAAGGACCTAATCATTTTTAACTTTTTCCCTCCTTATTAAAAGAAATAATTCCTTTAAAATACTGTCGATAATTCCTTAATCATTTAAAGGTTCTTTCGTAAAAATATGAAATAAATAAAGCTCTTGAAAATTAGAAATTTTAAAACCAAAAAATTATTTGTTTTTACTCAACTACTCTTCATCCATTTCATTTAAACCTTCAATTCGTTCACTAAATAAAGGCCTTTGACGACTAAAATCCATTTTAACGACCATTGTGCCTCCACTGCTTCTTAGAGAGCTGGAAGGTGAATATCGATAATTTTGAATGTGTTCGTGTCCAATAGGTCGATTAAATGGCATATTTGGAGGTGGAATTGGAAAACATGGCGGAATTGGGTGAAGACCTTTAAAAAAGAATTTTTTGAAAAGTAAGGTATTTTATTTAAAAATTATAACAGTTCCCATTATTGGCAAAAATAAAGACAACTGTCAATAATTTAAAATATTTATGCTTAAGTCCATAAGGGAAAATGGAAACTCAGATCTAGATATATGGATGAGGTCTGGAAACGTCTCCCAATTTCCACTCCCTAAAATTGCTGGGCAATATTTAAACAATTCCAAATGCGAAACTTTCTCATCCCAAAAGCCTTATCGTAAAAACGATTTATATAATAGATTAGCCCAGAATTTAAATGGACTATAATTTTAATTTAATTTTTTGCTTAATCAATGAAATGGTAATAGAATCTTAGCCCAGAATTTCTGTTGGCCTCAACGATTATAAAATAACAAATGCTTTTTTAAAAATTCATTACCATAATGTTGTAAGGGCATTTGGCCATATTCAGGCATATTTATTAAATTGTCACAAGGATTAAAAGAATAACGAGAAACTTGATTTTGTCCATTAACAAACCCCAATCTAATTGGATACCCATTATTTGTTGCTGTAGTTGTTGTAGAAGAAGAACCGCTACTTGAAGGTGAATAATAAGAAAGTGTTTGGGGGGAATTTTTTTGAAATTTGGGTAATTCTTCATAGGGAATAGTTGCATAATCTCCATAATTTCCTTCTTCTTGTTTATTTAATAAATTTTTTTCTGATAAATTATGCTTTTTCTTTTTCTTATTTTTTGTTTCTTTTAATCGTCTATTCCTTCTTAAATATGCCCATAATGCTATAAATATTGAGAAAACTACAGAAGCAGCAGAAATACTTGCCAAAAAGAGATAGAGAAGAACTGACTTAAATTTAAAAAATTTTTTGGGAAATTTTTGTTTAATTCAGAAATGTTAATAAGGGAGTATAAACAACTAGATTGTGGTGAGATGTTAGAAAATATCCCATCCAGACTAAATTATTTCTTGGAAGTCTTTTTTGATAATTGGATTTTATAAAGTTTAAAGGTTCTCTTGTGTTAAACTATTTAATTGTTTTTAACCGCGCTTAGCTTAAATTAAAAATAAAAAGTACCCCTTAAATCCAAATCCTCCAGAAAATTCTTTTCTTATTTTTAATTTTTAAATAATTACATATTTTTATTTTTCGAATTCACTCTTTAACAAAAAAAACTTTTAATTATTTACCCCATTATCAGAAATATCTCCCCCATCATTTTTAACTTCATAAGTATCCAATAATAATTCTTTCGTTGTTTCATATTCATTTACTAAAGGTAAATTACTCGAAGTTTTTTCTAATTTATTTGGAGATATTTTTAATGAAGGTTTTAGTGTTGATAATTTTGTTGTTGTGGAGGTACTTGATGTTGTTGTTGTTGCTAATTATTTTAATAAAATTAATTTTACAGAAAAAATAATTAAAATAAAATCTCTCTCCTCTTCTTATCACTCACAAATATTTAATTGAGTCAAAGAAAATTCATTTGGAAAACCTTTAATTTAATTCCCTGCTAATTTTGATATTTTCAGATAATTAAAACTAAATAACATCTCTCAGATATCCTAATAAAAAGTTCTATCCTATTTATGATAAAAAAAGGAGAGATTTTACTGTAAAATTTACAAAAACAAAAAATATTTTTTAATAAAAACAAAAAACCCCAAAAGCTAACAAAAAAATAACAAAAAAATTAAATTAAAATAAAACTTTACTTTCAATACACCTATAGACAACATCTAAATATTTATTAACTTGTGGACATTTATTGCCAAAAACTTGTATATTAGCTTTTACATTACAGCTATTTTGATGTTCACAACTGTTTGGAATTAATTTTTAAAAATTTGTAGAAAATTAGCAATTATGTAAAATTCCCATATTTTTATAAAAATAAAAATAGAAAATAAATAAAGAAAACAAAAAAAATAAAGCAGAATTAAATAAAATAAGGAAAAAAACTAAAAGCTACAAAACTTTCACCAAAAACAAAACAAACAAATTTATTTATTTTCACCTCTAATACACCCATAAACAGCATCCAAATATTTTGGAGTGCCTGGACATTGATCAAAACTTTCATTATTATTAATTCGATTTAATTGAAATATTGCCCAGTTTACGGGCACAACACAACGTTGACGGTGTTCACATCTAATTTATTTATTTAAATTTAGTTTTAAAGAAACATGAGAAAAAAATCTTTTGTATGAAAATCTTTACTCGTTTTCTGACTGGTAATTTAAAAAAATTTTTATTTTTAAGGAAATGTAACAAAACAAAAATACTCTTTTTATGAACAATGGATTAAAAACAAAATTTAATTATTATTTCTCTCCCATCTTTTATAAATTAATGTATATATATTTAATAATCTAATCAAAATATTATATGGGAAAAACTTTTTTGGGAATAAAAAAGTTATCTCATTTATTAGATAAACAAATAAACTAACTACTAACTAGATAGTAGTTTTAAAATAGAAAATATGATTATTTAAAAATTCCCCTTCTAAAATTTCTGATTACAAATAAAATTTCAACATTCTAAATTTTATTTCCTACTAAAAACTCTTTGTAAATCCATTAATTGGATTGGCTTTATCTCTCTTCACCACCCATTACTTTTAAAATACAAGTGACCTCTAAAAAGCTTTTCCCTCCAAAAAGGGATTGTGTACATAAATATATCCCTCTGGACCTTCTAATTAGTTTGCCGTTCTCCAAAATGTGTCAGCTTGGAAAGAAAGAAGCTTTTTCAAAATTCTCTTTCTCTTTTCCATGCCGCAAAATTTTTAACAAAACTAATGTCCATTAGTGTATTTTTCTTTCCTTTTTACTTAAAAATATATTCACCGACACACACAAACATTTACAAAAACACACTTCCTGGCCCAAACAAAAATAAAAAAAAAGTTAAAAACATTAAAATACAAAAATGTATTAGTGTGAGATTTCCAATTCATTGGGTAAAAAATGGCAAAAAATATTTTAAATAAATTACTATAATGGAATAAAAAAAGAGGGAAAGTTAATTAAAGAGAAATATTTTAATTTAAAAAAACATGAATTTATTTTATGAATTGTATTGATACAAAAGTAAAGGATTTACAATTCAGAGTTTATCATAATAATAAAATTAGGTGATTTTTTAGATAATTTTTTATAGATTAAATATTGGGGAAACCGATCGAATTATATACTGACAAAATAACTCGGAAGACTCAATTAATCACTCTGTCTATTTTAAGTAAATCTAAGTATTCCCTTCCAAAAATATTTTTTTAATTTTCAACTCTCTTTACAGTAATATATTTTATAAAAATAATTTAATTTTACAAGCTTCTCAATAAAATAAAAATCAAATTGTCTTACAGAATATCTCAACAATTTTTGCTTATTTCCTTTTTATTAAATATAATTTAATTTTTATTTTGTTTATTTAATTTTCCTTTTTACAAATAAAAAATAGTAAAAATAAAAATTTATTTTTACAATTTTTCTTTCCAAAAAATCTTTCCTTTTTTAAAAATATAAATAATGGGTTTGTGGATTAAAAATAAGAAAGGGAAGAGAGGAAAGAGAAGATTGAACACATGGATTGACTGCTAAATCTGTTCTTTTACTTATCCTCTCAACGAGAAAATGACCCTTTTCCGGAGAGAAGGGGAAGGGGTCTTTTTAGGCGCAGGGAGGGTAGGATGTGTTTTATGAGCTTAGAACTGTAAAATTTCTTGGAAAATATTAAAACTTAAATTTTGGACTCTCAGAAATATATGACCTAAAAATTTGGAATTTTCTTATTAAAAATATTTTGTAAACTATTTCTATAAATTTTCATGAATTTTAATTATAATGTAGTTATTTTATTTAATCCCGCTCCTTAACATTTCTGCGCCCAAATGTCTTCCTCGAGAGTAAGGGTCATTCATTTCCTTCTAACAATTAGTAGTAGTTAATATAGTTAATATACCTTCAATTAGTGGTCAGGTGGAGAGATTTGAAAAGAAAAGGTGGCAAATTTGGCAAAACAAGTAATTATAGATTAATGGAATAAATGAAGAAAATAATGAAAATAAAGAATTTATTTATTTAAGACATTTCACCCCAATTTTAAAAATTAATTTAAAAACCGACCTAGCCCTTAGCACATCTATAGCTTCTGGATTATTGCAAAAAATATTAAAATCAGGCCTTCTTGTTGGATTACATTCTTTTAAAGCAAAACGGCCAAAATTGGCTGATTCGATGACTATTTGATGATAAGGGGGGCAATGAAGGGATGCTAATTCTCCATCGCAGGCAATTAATTTAACTGAAAAAAATATATTTTTAATAATAAATATAGTAAAGAAATTTTATTTTGTGGAAAACTACACAAATCCCTCTACAAGAGACCCCAGCCAAATCAAAGCACAAAATCTATTACTATTACAAAATAAACGAGTTATTTTGTACTAATATTAATTAAATAATTTCTAAATTATTTATAAAAAAGATTTTTTGAATTTTTTGTTTAATTGGATATAGTGTAGTGTACCGGTGGTAAAAGTTCGGGACGTGACATATGTCAGTCGATTCGTCTCGACGAGCTGAGTCGAAAGGCACCACTCCCTATTTTAGGAAATAATTCTGGACCGAGTTATAGGTCCCGGAAAATTGAAAAACCATAGGGGGGAGTAAGCTAGATTTTGGGGTGAAAAATTCGAATATGCAAATAATAGCTCATTCGAAAGAGCTCCTCGAGCTGAGTCGAATGACACCAAAATCAACAAAATCCGACTTGATTGGACCGAGATATAGGCCCCTAAATATCGAAGATCCAAAGGGGCGATTTTTGGAATAAAATTTTTTTATACAAATAATAACTCATTCGAAAGAGCTCGACGAGTTGAGTCGAATGACACCATAATCACCGGGATCGAACAAGATTAGACAAAGTTACGACACAAAAAACAAGCAACATAAACCTATGGAGAGTCGGCGAGGCGCTTGTGCAAACCCCCGCGCTTCGCGCGGGGGTTTGCGGCACGCGCCTCGCGGGGAGTCTACGGGCGGTGGGTCTGGGCTCGTAACATAAACCTATTCCTATCTCCCTTGCTCTGGGCATACCTGGAGCCTCCGTAGCAGCAAAACCCTCCATGGAGACCATAGGTAAGGAGCTAAAACAAGCGATCATAACTTTGTCAAATCAAGTCGGATTTTGTTGATTTTGGTGTCATTCGACTCAGCTCGAGGAGCTCTTTCGAATGAGCTATTATTTGCATATTCGAATTTTTTACCCCAAAATCGACCTTACTCCCCCCTTTGGTTTTTCAATTTTCTGGGACCTATAACTCGGTCCAGAATTATTTCCTAAAATAGGGAGTGGTACCGTTCGACTCAGCTCGTCGAGATGAATCGAATGACATATGTTACGTCTCGAACTTTTACCACCGGTACACTACACTACAGCCGTTTAATTTTTATTTTATTTTTCATAAATAGGTATATTTTTTTATTATTCAAAACAACAATATTTTTAATTTTTAATTATTTCTTGCAATGAAGGAAAAAGGGAAGGAGAACGTTCTCAAACAAAGCCTCTAGCTCTGTTTTATTTACTCGGAATAAACAAATTATTTTAATAGATTTTGGTTAATATTTAAATATTATTTATCTAATAATTGTTAAAAAACAATTATTTATTTTGAAAATATAGAAAATTAGAGAATAAAGACAGATAAAAACAAATTTAAAATAATTTTAATTATTTAAAATAAACTCTTTCTTAAACAAAAATCATTTAAACTTTTAAATGCGCCAAATTATCTTTTTTCAAAACTTTTCAGTATTTGCCAACATATTTTAACTCTTTAATATTTACTAAAAACTTTGCCGACGACAAAAACTTTTTAGAAAGTACTCATCTTTAAATAAGTATTACTTAGAAGAAAAATATACACTACTATTAAATTTCTCGTTCAAAGAAAAATAAAAATATATTATTTAAATTATTATTATTTTAACAATTTCCTCCCTTAAATTAAAGAACAAATAAAAAAAGTTTGTCTTACAAAATTGGTCAATTAAAAATATAATTATTTCTTTATTTTTTTCTTTAAAAAAATAATTTTATCCAAAACTTTTTTCTTTAATTATTTTCAATAATACAATTTTTGTTTCACAGCAGGAATTGTCACTTCTTCTCTAGCTTTTTTCTAATCTTTAAAGAAACACAACATTTTTTGGTTGTTGTATATATGCTTGGATGAATATAAAAAAATTCTTTTAGATGCGGAAGAATTTTTGATTAAAAGGATATAAAAAAAAAAAGAAAAAATTGCCGAAAATCATGAGGACAAAAAAAAAGAAATTTACAAAACTAACAATTATTTTTTGAAAGAGAAGAGACACCTACGGCAAAGATTGACGTTCCGATGGCGGAAAGAAAACTCAACTGAATAAAAGAATTCTGAAACTTAGAATTTTGTATAGATATATCAAAAGTGATGTTATTTAGCAAAATCTAAAAATTTTGAAATTTTTTATCGAATATTTTTAAATTATAGAAATATATAAGTTACAATTTTTGCTAATTTTGCATCCATGACTTTTAAAATAAAAAATCAAAAATTCTTAAATTTATAAAATGTTAGTTACATTTTGGAATATACATATCTACGAAATTTAATTTTTCTAAGTGCTCATTTGATTTTTTATAAACGCAAAACTAAACCAGACAATTTAAACGAAAATATAATATCCTTAAACAAATTATTTAAATTCTTAACAAAAAATTAAAGTCCTTTAATATATTACAACCCTTAATTCTCTAAATTTAATATCTCAGACTTGTACTATTTATTTAAAGAGAAAAAGCAAGTAAGTAACCAACAAAGGCCCTCCTTTGTATGCTTTAGGGATAATCTCCTAAATAATAATATTTTTCTACTTTTACTTAACTGTCATTGAGCCACTTGAGTAGCCAACAGACTTTAAAGGGAAATTTTAGGTAAAAAGGGCAGGTGTGCCTAGTTTAAAAATACTAAATTGGAGATAAATAAATAAACATAATTACAAAAAAATGTGTTTTTGACTGACTTAAAGTAAATTTAATACAGTAAATAAAGAGAAAATCTAAAATAAAAATAAAATACAAAAATTCTTGTTTTCCCATTTGGAGAAATTTCAATTAAAGAATAAAATGAGCAAAAAATATATTTAAATTGGTCTAATCTTGGACTAAATCTTAATAAATTTAGGCCATCTCGAGGTTTCGATCTCTAATATATATAAAGTTACAGGCTACTTTTTAGCTACTTTTTAGAGAATTTTTTCGAAGAACGAGACAAATTGAATCGAGTATTTACTTCATGATTTGAAGATATATATTAAAAATTAGTATTTATTTTGATTGAAGAAAAATATAAAGTAAAAGCAATATGTAACTCGAAAAGATAAATCTATAAAAATTAATGTATTTATATTAAAGATTTATAGATTTAATCATTAACTAGACATTTTTTAAAACTATTTTTGTTTCTAATATACCTAAATAATCCATCTTATTTTTACTTTTAATGGCCACATAAATAAATAATTATTATTTTTTAATGTCATAAATCATTAATAAATACTTTTCTGATTTACTTTAAATAATTATTTATCCATTTTTATTCGCGCGATATTTTGACCTAAATTCTGTTTAAAAAAAAATATTTTACTATATAATCCTAAAAATATCTTTCCTAAAAATATATTCTACATTTGCCCTCACATAAATAAATAATTATTTTTTTATCTTCTCCATTCGTGTACATTTTTTCTGAATTTTTTAGGGGTTTAATTCTTTTACCGAAACAGTGCACCCACAAATCGAAAGTAGAAAAATTTTTAATTTTCGATTTTATTATAGATTTGCAACTTCTTATTTAATTTAAATAATCTTTCCCCGACTTCCCATCTAAACTCAAAAAAGTAAAAATCCCTTAATAGTCCACCTCTACTTTAATATTTTTTCTAAAAAATATTTTTCACTATTAACAACAATACATCCCAATTCTCTCTTATAAAAACTAAAAAGCCTTAAAATTAAAAAAAGAAGACCTATGTACTTTTTCTATTTTTTCATAATGAGACATTTTGTCCCATTTTTCAATTAATCAACTTTTATATTTTTCTTTTTAAATTAAAAAATAAGAATTTATTTTCGAGACTGTGGCTCTTGAATGGGTGCAAAATTAGAAAAAATATTTTTAAGAGAAAATTAGAAAATAATAAAAAATATAGGCAATTAGAAAAATAAAGACAAAAATTAATTAATTATAAATATTTTTTTGTTAATATTAAAATTATGATTTTTGGTCAAAATTAATTTAGAGATTAATAATTGGGAGGAAAAGGAGTATTTTTAATTTTTTTAACTTTTCAAAAAATCCCCTACCTGAATCTAAATAAGTCGTTGAAGTTAAAATTTCTGGCAAATAGGCTAATAAAATGCTGAGAATAATTTGTAAAGTATAAAGTAAAGAATTAAAGCAAAACATAATTTAAATAAAAATTAAACTAAAAAAAATAAATTTAATTAATTAAAAATTACAAATAAATTTAATTTATTTCAAAATAAAATTTTAAACGAAAAGAATGAATTTAAAAAATAAAACTAAAATATATCAGAGTTTAACTAAAATAAATTTTATAATTAAATTTAATTTTCAATGATGAGGGCGTTATTTAAAAAAGTGGAAAAACCATCTGAAGGAAAGGAAGTAAAAGAAAATAGTTGATAGGCGGGAAGAGGTTGGAAAAGTGTGAATTAATTGATATTTTTAATTATAAATTTGAGATACCTAAATAGAATAGTTTAAAAAGTGGGGGAATACCTTGAGGATATATCCGGAGTTGAGGATCTATTAAAATTAAGATCAATTAGTTAATAACCCTGATTTTGAACGATATCACGTCTCAATCCAATATGTATTTCTACATTTAGCACTTTCCTACAATAATTTAAAAAATATAAATTACAAAGTTCCGTAGATTACTAAAAATTTTCTTATTCAAAATACCATATAACCCCCCCCCAAAATACCATATAACGATATCACGTCTCAATCCAATATGTATTTCTACATTTAGCACTTTCCTACAATAATTTAAAAAATATAAATTACAAAGTTCCGTAGATACTACCGTAGATTACTAAAAATTAAGATCAATTAGTTAATAACCCTGATTTTGAACGATATCACGTCTCAATCCAATATGTATTTCTACATTTAGCACTTTCCTACAATAATTTAAAAAATATAAATTACAAAGTTCCGTAGATTACTAAAAATTTTCTTATTCAAAATACCATATAACCCCCCCTTTTTATTTATTAACTAATTTTCCAATCCAAAAAACAAATATTGTAAAAAAAAGAATTAATTAGCAATATATTATTCAATGAATTATTTATAAATATTTTTGCATTACAATAAAAGAAATAAATGTATATAAAGTGTTTGTTATGTTAAAAGGAAGCTGTCAACTAGTAGAGTAACTAAACTGCGAGTAAAATTGTTTTTAGCAAAAAGATTGCGGAGAAGGACGTCGGGGGGAAAAGTGGGTAAAATGATAGAAGAATTTAGTTGGAAATTTATTTGTATATATTGATTTGATTGATGCTTTTAGGGAAGTCAAGCTTGAATATTAAATTAAATATGTTAATGATTAAATGGGAAATTAAACAAAAGAAATTCCAAAAATTATTACCAAGACTAACATTAAATAAAATTTTAAATTAAAAGAACAAAATGAGAGAAAAATTCTAAATTTTATAATTTTATTTTCGATTGAAGAGTGATCAAAATTCCACAATCCCCTAATATTGGAATAAAGAGAAATTTAATAAAAACAAGATGAATTACTGTAATTGTTTAAAAAGGGAATAATGATTAGAAAATGATGGTTTCCCTTTCTCCAAAACAAACAAGATAAATCAGTTTAATAACCCCCCTCCCCAACATTCCTTATATTCTAAAATAAATAAATATATCCACATCTAAATATCTTTTTTACCCTTCCCTTTCAACCCCGCCTTCTTTATAGTCCAAGCAATACTTAAAAATACACGCCCCTGTAGGGACAGAGCATCTGCCCTGTTCAGTTCCCCTTTCTCCTCCACAATCCCCTCATTCGGTCATTCCCTCATAAAAAAAAAGCACTTGGCTTCCCCCCGCGCGCCGTTTTTGACCACTTTTCTAGGCCGATACACATCAGTGGCGGTCCCCAAAAAACATTTTTTCCTTCATCATCTTTAGTCGCATGCCTAAGCGTTGAAAGTTGTTGAGATGAAGATTTTTGGGTTGATTGTTTGTGCAACAATCCCTCCGACCGGTGAAGTGATGGAAAAAAAGAAGAATGGACAGAAGCGGTTAAAAGGAAGTAAAAAAGGGACAAGAAAAATTTAAAGGGAAAATGAAAAGTAAATAAATAAACAGAATGCCAAAAAATTTTTTTATTGTACTTTAATAATAATTGGCCAAACAGGAACACTTGAAAATTATTAAAGTGTTGAACTGTTTTCTCTTTTAAAAAATACTTGTTGAGTGTAAAATGAGGTAAATAGAGGAACAAAGAATTTCAAAAAAATATAAACTAGTTGTTGTTAAATAATTAAAACAATGAATATTTTAAAAACAAAAAAAAAATAAAACAAAAGAGAATACTTAAACTTTGTAGAGGTTTGTAGAAAAAAAAATAATTTTTTAAAAGCCAATGAGGAAGTGAATTTGGCAAAAAAATAATAAATAATTATTTATTTAATTTCTTTAGTGAGAAAAAAATAAAATTTAGCGTCTTAGCTTCACTATTCTCCTTTTTAGTTGATCATTATTAAATGCTGGTCAAAAGGGGAAATAAAAAATGTTTTAGTTTAAAGAGCAATCAAAATATTATATGAATAAATGTACATATATAATATAGCAAAAAATGTTGTTGACTTTTGTTCCGGCTTTTCCTGTATTTTTTTTGTAATTTTAAAAATGGCGGAGAGAGTAATATCCTTTTCTTTACAAAATAACATTCTTCTACCATTTTCTCAGCAAACCGTGCAGAAAGAATCAGAAAAATTTATTGTGTAGGTGGAAGATGTTTTGTTACAATTTTTAAATATTTTTGTGTTGATTGCCCTTTCATTCAAAAAAAATATTCATTTTCAACCCCCCCCCCCCCTCCAACTACAAATAATCATTTGGCCGCTATTTTTGTATTAGCTACATATTTCTCCTTATTTTTTAGTCATTCACCTTTAGAGAGAAAAAAATAATTTTAGAAGCAAAAATTGTTTTTATTTATGCTAATGATCGCAATTTAGATAAAGAAAAATATTTTTATAAAATTTTTTAATAAAAAGAGAGAAATAAAAGGTTTTGTGAAAAGCTAGAAAGGGGGGAATTATTCATTTAAAAATTAAATATTGTGAATCATAAACAAAAAATTTTTTAAAGCAACAAATTAAATTTATTTTAATTTAAAAATGTTGATGACTTTTTAGTGGTTGATTTTTAAATGAAAAAAAATATTTTTAATAAATTTGATTTGGAATAAACTTTAATTTATCCAATAATTTTTGATCAGCTTTGGAATAAAGCGGACTAAAAGAGATAAAGACAATGATAGTTGACTTAGTACTATCCCCATGGCTCCTTCAATATATGAGATAGAAATATATCAGAATGTATGGGATATATGAAAAAATACACGAGATAATCGAAATAGAAAAGTTGATTGGTTGGAAGTGTTTCCAAATGTTAAAAAAAAGATTCCAGATTTTTGGACAAAAGTAATTGAAAGATTATCTTACATAATTCTCGTCGAGATTCGTTGACTCGAGACTACACAATTTTTATTTTTAACAAAAAAGTCTTTAATCTCATTGTTTTGCATTGTCTAAAAATAATTTTTGTTTTGAAGCAAAATATCATGAAAATGGACAAAAGCAAAAAAGAAACGCGCACAAACATACTGCCCTTGAGGGAAGGAAATTCCCATTTAAGTCCCCTGGAGGAAAGAAGTGGAGAAAATGAGAAAAGGAAATATAGGGGGGAAAATAAAGGAGGGGGTGGGCCGTGAATGGAATGAATGGGGCCTAATATATAAAAATAAATATAGCTAGCGGCTACCAAACAAACAAGCCTTTCCAGTCCTTGTGGCTTTTACTACTAACTAAAGGAGCATGGAATGGACAGACAAAAGAAAAAAAAGAAGAAATTGTTTTTAAAAATAAATAATTTATTTTTGTTGTTGGGAGAACCCTCTATTTATTTTTTGTTTCAAAAGAAAACAAATAAAAACGTGTTAGTTAAGTTAGCATGTGATAATTAGAGACTTGGTGATGAGGATTGTAAAGGATATATGTAGCTATTTAATTCCTAAAGCTATGCATGAGGAAGTGTGGTGTAAGGGATAACAAACACAAGTTCGGCAAGCCGAGGTTCGGCCAGCTGATCCATTTTAACAATTTTTAAAATGAAACAAACGTCATGAAAGGCTAAAATATTCTTGAACTATCATTTAGTAGTGATTTGATAAGAACTTTTAATTGTTTTAAATTTTTTATAGTTATTTAGTAAAAACTAAATTGACTTCATGATGAGAAAAATTTTGATTACTTAATCTCCATACAAAGTCCAACTTAAAATAAAATAAATTAATTTATTTTGTAATAAAAACGTTTTTTTTATTAAAATTGCTAGTTTAAAAATGAAAATAAAAAAATAGAAAATGAGTGAAATTCAATGCCATTTTACAAAAACAACTAAAAAATTGAAATGAAAATGGTCACTCTTCTTCTCTCTCTCCAACAATAAAAATTAAAAAAAAGTAGCCATTCCCTGTATAGATCCAGCAATTTGTTTTGTCAATTTTAAGAAGAATAAAGTTATTGTTTGGAAACAATGATTGTGGTTATTTAATAAGTGAGGCATAAATAAAACAATAAAAAATAAAAAGATTACAAATAAGTTGAGGGAAAAGTTGGGAAAGGGAGAGAACATTTGGACGCAGAGATGTCTAAGCGAATTTTTACTCAGAAATTCTACCTTCTTAACTATAACTAAGAAATTTTCAGTTAGAAGCTAGCAAGAGGTCATTAAATTTTCCAGAGATATTTTTAAAAGTTGTGTCAAATTCCTCTAAAATTTTAGAATTTTTGGTTTTGTATTGCAAGAGTTATAAGCTAAAAATAACAAATAAATGCATCCATGCAGAATTTAAGTCCCTAAATACTTATTTACCTATTTTTTAAGCTCGAGGCCTTCTTTAAATGCGTCAAAAAATCCATGTCCTTTTCTACAGCTCAAAACTGGACAACAATAAAATATGCGCGCGCCACTAACTACTTACTAACCTGTCATTCTAAAAATACGCCTCATTGACAGTGGCAACAAATAAAACAATAAAAAATAAAAAAACAATAAAAACTGATTGTTTGAGAGGTTAGAGGAGTAATGCGGGAAAGTGGACGTTGGGCAAAAAAAGGAGAGAGGAAAATACCTCCCA